GTTGGATATTGTTATGAAAATGGAATTGGAGTTGAAAAGGATGAACATAAGGCATTCATTTATTATCAAAAATCTGCAGAGATGGAGAACGCTGATGGAACATCTAATGTTGGATATTGTTATGAAAAAGGAATTGGAGTTGAAAAGAATGAACATAAGGCATTTATTTATTATCAAAAAGCTGCAGAACTTAATAGCTTGAGTGGGATATTTCGACTTGGAAGATGCTATCAATTAGGTGTTGGTATCGAAAAAGATGAAAACAATGCTTTTGAATATTTTAAAAAAACCGATATTATGGGTGATAACATTGGAACATTTAATGTAGGCTATTGTTATTATCATGGAATTGGTGTTAATATAGATAAACAAAAAGCTTTTGAATATTATAAAAAATCTGTTGAAATGGGTAATGCTTATGGTATAATAACAGTTGCGCAGTGTTATCGAAATGGAAATGGAGTAGAGAGAGATTTAAAACTAGCAAACGATTGGTATAAAAGGTAACGAAAAAAATGTACAGTAATTATTTGTTTTTATAAATATATTTAATAATATTTTATTTAATTTAATAGATCGAAAGAATCGTTTACAGGTATTTTTATTTTTAATATTTTTAGTTTGTTGATTGGAATAAAATTAAATTTATTTTATTATTAGTTGCGTATGAATGTGCATCTAAAAATATTAATGTTGATAATGGTTTGAAAAAAATGTTGAATGATAATAATTTTCAATTATCATACATCCCTTATGAAGAATTTAAGAATATTAAAGAAATCGGAAGAGGTGGATTTGCTATAGTATATCGTGCGGAATGGTTTGATAAAAGTCGTCAAAATTTAATTACGTATGTTGTGCTTAAAACACCTAAAGTAAAAGATAACAAAGACTTTATTGAAGAGATGAAAGTGTATTGTAAGATTGGAAAAACTCATCCATCATTTTTGAAATGTTATGGAATATCTAAAGATAATGATGACAGATATGTTTTAGTTTTGGAATATGCTGCTGAGCAATCTTTGAGTAACAATCTTAAAGAAGTATTCAAAATGGATTGGAGAAGGAAAGTTAAGTTGTTACATTGTATAGTTTCTGACCTTGAAATAATTCATTCTCATGGATACGTTCATCGAGATTTGCATAGTGGAAATATTTTGCAGGACGATATCGATAATGCGTATATTGCAGATCTAGGTCTCACTTCGTATTCGAATACAAGTGAAGTCAAGGGTATTTTACCTTATCTTGCCCCGGAAGTTTTGCGAGAAAAGCAATTTTCACGGGCATCTGACATTTACGCTTTAGGAGTAATCATGACAGAAATAGCTAACGGGAAAAGAAGTAAATGTAAACCTGAATTCGATTTTGTAATTCCAGATTGTTATGTTAAGTTGGCTGAACGATGTATAGATTCTGATTTGAAAAAACGACCTACTGTTAAAGAAATTTGGAAGAAGGTAGATGAATGGAACGAACTCATGAAAAGTTCAGATGATGAGAATGAAGTCAAAAAACAATTCTTAGAAGCGGATAAAATCATTAAAACATTACCGATAAGTGTACAAGACCATGATAACGATCCATATACAAGTAAGATTATAAGTGATGAGGAATGTAAAACTCAACTCCAAAGTTTGGAACTTTCTTAAAAAAATATGCAATTAAAAATATTAGAATAAAATTTTATGTATAATTATTAACGTTTTGATTATTCTTTAGTAGAGATCCGTTGATCTGCAATGTAATCCGTGTAATGCACTACGAACAATTAAAAATAGTGCTGGAAAAGGAACGAAATTGACAATTTTTTTAAGTGAACTTTTATTTAAATCGATTTAGAATAAGATTAAAATCATTTTTTATTTAAAACATTCTATAATTTAACTCTGAAGTAAAATAAGTCGCGTTTTAAAAGAATAACACTCTTCATCCAACTTATAATACCAATTTACAAGTATAAAAACTTTATTAGAACCGATTTTAATAAAAAGTTACATGTTCTTTAATGATATTATTAAAACTTTAACATAATTAACAAAACTATACTATCGTACATATAAAACGACTTATATTGAATATACAACTTTCGAAAACGATCTGTAAAGTTATAATAAAAATAAACGTATTAATTATTTAAATGATAATAGATAAAAAAAATCAACGTTGAACTTTATGAATTAAGCAGTACAATATATTTTTATTACCTTCTACTATACAGTAGACAGTACTTCAACTCTTAATAAATCTACCTTTTATTGCGAGATACAACGTGATTCAAATCGATTTTCTGAACAAGACGTTCGCTAGGAAGTTCTTTGATTAGTAAAATATTACATGGTTGGTACATTTTTTTAAAAGTTTACTTATACCCGAAATTCTGGTTTATACTGCTACCTATATAAATATTCGTGTAACGTTGATCCCAGAAATCATCGGAAACGAATGTCCCCCGCTATCGTAACTAGGTCATAATTTATATAAAAATAGTTTATGTAAATTACGACCTAGTTACGACCTATCACATAAATATGTCTGCATCTCTAGTCACAACTACAGCCCAGGTCGAAAACGTAAAGCATATCAATCCAATAACTGTTCTGTAATAACATATTACCTTATATATTAACCATAATCTTCTACATGCGTTTCGTTGAGGTTTTCTGTAAACCAGGTTGGATGGCTAAAACTTGTAACAATAATACAGCTACATAAATACTATTACTTTCTTTTTGAGTTTTGTTATTTCAAGTTACTAACATACTTTCTTTTTTCATAAAATAAATTTATCGGTTTCAGCACTTTCTTTTTTTCATAAAATAAATTCGTCGGTTCTATTCGTTGTTTGGGTTTTCACTTTTCTAATAATGTTTCTTCAAATACCGGGCTACTGTGAGACCTGAAATTGCAACCGATGGCATGTGACGTGATCATAGTACAGTTGAAATAGAGTTTCAGTTGACTATCAAACTAATTGAATTAATTGACAATTCACGAAAGAAGGAGAATTTGTATTAATAAAATCTATAACGTTATATTTAAAATATAGCAATCAGCATTCCTGACTATTTAAAGTTAAATTTTTATTAATCTAACATCTTTTGGTCATCTAATGAAAGTTGTAAAACTAGTTTTTGTAATTCTAATGATAATAAGATTGGTAAAATTAGTTAGATATGTAGAAAGTTATAAGTAGTTTTAAGTTTAATTTTTTCTATAAAATATAGGAATTGTAATTCTATATTAATATATTTTAATATATTTTAGTATAAAAACTTCATCAGTTTTTATTCTTTTTCTATTACAAATTGTCAATTAAATTGTAAAATACAAAATAAAAAGCAATACTGTATTTACAAATGAAAACTCTTTCTGCTAATCTATATTTTCAAAAAAAGCAAAAACAAAGAATATAAAAAAAAATAAAACTAAATTAAAAATAACCTTTTGAACAACTAAGAATTAATTTTAAGAAGGAAAAAAGAAATAGACTTAGTTAAAACAACAATTTAAAAGAACAAAACAAAATAGATATTTTGAATTCTTGTAAAATTGAAACAAAATTTTTTAAAAAATTTAAAGATTTAATTTAAACTCTGAATAATAGTAAATAGACATATGATATATAACAACAATTATTAGTAAACAAAATATGCAAAGTAAATACATCCTATTTAGAAAATATAAACATATTAGCAAAATTAACAAACAAACAAACTATATATAATTCTAAAATTAGTAAACATCAATAGAATAGTTTAGAAATGGATATACAACTTAAAATAGAAATGCTTTATGATCAATTTTTAATTTAACATATGCAAAGAACAGGTGATATAGTTTATAAATATTTAAATAGTTGTAAGTTAGATCAAGTACTAAAAACAACCATGTATAAAAGCCCAAGTAATATCAAAATTGTAGCTAAAGGACTAGCAATTAATAATTCAAAAAATATTATAACAAAAGATCTAACACTATATAGCCAAATACTTAAAGCTTTAAAAGTTGAAACAAAAGTAATAATAACTCTATCAAACAAGTTTATCAAAAATTGGGCCAACAAAATAAGAATGACAAACCTTAACTCAGCTTTAGTTAAATATACAGTAGGTATAAGTAAAGAAAAAATACAAAAATAAGAAGAAAAAATAAAAAGAATAGAAAGAAATTATAATGAAAAGAAAATCTTAACAATAACATATACACAAAAAAAAGATGTCAAGCAATCAATAATAGAACAAAACTGAGTACAGAAATTGAAGTTATAACAGTTTAAATTTAAAAACTTAATATAAAACAGTAACAACAAAAAGCAGAAATGAATTACTTTACAAAAATAAAAAAGAAAATAAAAGAAGAAAAAATTAAAAAAAACATATCAGTAGAATTAACAGAAACTAAAAAATGGAGTTAGAGAACCTTATATCAATATCTACCTCATTCTTTTTAACCTTAATAGAATACAGTGATTGGTTTTCTAGATACAAAATATATACAGAAAATAAGTTTTTCAAGAGCAATTTTTACACTTATATATTATCTGAAAAAACAAAAGAAGAAAAAATCAAATATGTTTGATAAATTCTAGAAAAGAATAAATATATAAAAACAATCAAAGAAGCTTTCAAAAAGAAAATAATTGGATTGAAGTTGATTTTGATTGTGAATATAGTAGAGATAAAGCAATTAAGAAAATTAGTAAAAAAAAAGAAGAATGGCTCAAGCTTATCTCAGAGAAGACAAAAAATAAAAGTAAAAAAAAAGTTCAAGTCAAGCAATTAAACTTTAAAGAAAAGCAAACTAAACATAAAGTTGATGAAAAAAAAAAGATAAAAATCTTCCTATAAAAAAAGAACTAAAAAAACTTATACCAACTATTAAACTATCTAGAACCTTTTAGTGAAATAAATAAAACAGAATTGGATTTTATTTGTAGAAAAATTAAAAAGATTTATGTAGTTAGAATCAAAAGATTGAAGTACAAAACATTGGCAGTAATTAAAATAGATGAATATGAAGATAAAAACATACCTTGGTCAATACCAATAGATGATAATAAACTAGTAAGAATAATGAATGTTATTAAAAATTATAAAGAAAGAAATTACTAAAGCCAATTTACAACAAAGTTAACAAAACTTCTTAGAAGTATATTAAAAGTACTCTTGCTATGATATCTAAGAAGTAAGAGTGCAAAGTCTGTTTATATTTCATTAAACAGAAATAGAAATTAAAAAAGAACAGCAATGATCATCTTTGCAACTAAAGAGGAAATAAATATAGTCTAAACTAAACCAATCAGATACAACAACTTTTGAGTTTACTAAATAATAGAAGAAAAAAGAGAACCAAAAAAAAAAGATGTTGAAAAACAGAAGAAAAATAAATAAAGATAAATCTGATCAAGACACAGACTCAGAAGGTTATGAAAGTATAGATACTCAAAAAAATAAGAAATATAAAAACAAAAGAAAAGACATAAAAGATGCAAATACAGAAAATTAATCACAAATACAAGACCTTTTATAATGCATATTAATTAGACTTGAAAGACTTGAGACACAAAAAGTGCAATCAAAAACCTTTATCAAAAAGAATAGTTACAATGCTTCTAATTTTTATTACAGTTGAATCAAAGAATAAGAATGTAGAAACAGAAGTCTTTTTAATAAGAAAAAAGAAAAAACAAACTACAAATCAAGAGAATATACTATACTTAGAAGAAATAAAAAACAGACTAAAGAATGAAATAAAAATAAAGAAAGAGCCAATCTAAATATAGCAGTACATAACATCAATAGTCTTAAGAGAAATAATTAAAAAATTAAAACATTATACAAATGGCTAATTGATAATAACATTAACAAAACAATTTAAATACAACTCACCTCTGCAGATCCCTCGACCAAAATCATTAAGAAGCAAAACGAGAAAATATTACAAAACACACTAAGAAGCAATACTAAAACCCTTAGTAGAAAAGAAAGAGCAACAAAATTTATACCTAGCTAATAGAACAAAATACAAATAGAAATAGCATAGAAACAGCAAAGCTTGGAAAAATAAAATTTTTTGCCGAAAACAAAAAAT